CAAAGAAGTGCACAAACACATTTTTATATACCGTTTACCAAAAAAAACGATGTTGGAGTCCGCATGCTTTTTTGCGCCACGGACCGGTTTAATGTCAGACAATATTTTCACGGACCGGCCTTTAAGGTGTCACGGATAAATACAACAAGTAAAATGATACAACCAAGACAAAAACTGTGGTATTTTGTAAATATAATAATAAAAGCAAATTCACTGTGTAATTGTGTAGCTTTATTAGCAGCGTTCTCCTGAAATGCGCCAACAACATTGAGAGTAACGTCCTCCTCTCTGCCCCTTAGTGCTCTCGGGTCGCTATGGTAAATATTTCTTTCAAAATAAGACACAACTACAACACGCGAAAAGACCCAGGGAAACAGAGTTAATGATAAACCCCTGAAAACCATAAATTTCACATCCTAGTCTCAACTCTTGCGGCCCAGTACCAAATGACCCACAGACTGGTACTGGTCCATGGCCCGGGGTTGGGGACCGCTGGTCTAAGGTAACAGCAAAAATACACAAAGCTATTCAACATAACAAGAATCAGGACGTGTCACAGACAAGAAAACTTGCTGTGTGGTAACTTACTTGACGAGACCCGATGTGTTCTTAAGGACTGTGGCTGCAAACAGCTGGGAGACTCCAACTAAACTCACTCCATCCACCTCCACTATCTGGTCATTCACCCGAATCCTTACAGAGATAAAAACATACAGACTGAGGAGAGTATCTACCTTTATCTTGGTTTTATTCAGAGAAAAAAAAATAAAGACACTAAAGCTAACCTTCCATCCTTCTGGGTTGCTCCTCCTTCAGTGATTGTCTTGACAAAGATGCCAAGTTTTTCCAGTCCCTGGTCAGCACCTACACCCATCCCAATGATGCTGATGCCGAGTCCATCTTCACCTGGAGGGTGTGGGGGAAAAAAAAGGTAGTGAAGACATTAAGAATTTATCCTTACATTAGCTATATTAACTGCTAAAAATCATTAGACGTTTAACAATCAGAGGAGAGAGGAAAAACAGATGCTCATACAAACCCTTTTTTATCTCCACTGGAAAAACATCCATCCTTTCCACTCTCTTCTCTAGCTCAAACTCAGCCGAAGCAGACACTGGGTCAATATCTTCATTGTGTCTGTCATAATCTGCATTAGAATAGGTGTTGTACACCTGAAACACACCATTCATCATGCAATTAAGGCCTCAACTTAGGTTAACATTGATGGCAATTTTAGGCTAAATGAAAATGCCTGTTTTTTTGCATTCTTATCTGGTGCATATGTTCACTGTGGGCTGACTAGAAAGAGAACCATCTGCAGCTATTGACACAACAAGACCTTGTTTATACAGACAAATGTGGTTAGTGTGAGAGCCAGCATCGGATCGAGTAAATGCAAACACTTGAGCAAAATGTACCAACAATTACAGGATTGCAAAATATCTAAGTGTACACACACAACTTCCATATGACATTTACTGATGCCACACTGACCACTGCTACAGTAGTTTGTTATAATCGATCCAGATTAATGCCACGGGATCTTTTTCCGGTGTAAAGGCAGCTCTGAGCCGAGCGCTGACAGAGGGAAGCGTGTGGAATCTTGTCTTTCCTCCTCCCTTAATGGATTAGAAACATTGCTTTGGGCTAACACCTCGCTTACTCAGATTCAAATAGCACCTGGAACTGACAGTCACACAAATCTACAACAAAAGAGCTTCTCAAGTGCATGACTTTACAGACCTTGCAGCTTTCAATAAAATGAGCAATGGTAGCTTAAAGCCTGCAAACCCTTAAAATTTGCGTTATTTTTCACAAAGGTTTCCCTACCTTGATTGGTGCCGAGCAGAACTTGACCTTCCTCTCGACAGATCCATCCCCATTCTCCTTGTCGGAAAGGTCAGGCACACCGGGAATTTCCTCATACTCCAACAAAAGCTGGTTTTCCAACTCTTGTCTTGGTGGAGTGGAAAGCTCTGGATGGGACTGGGATTCCTGATCATATGCAAAAGCCTTGTTCTCAATGCCACTGATTAATGCATCTTCTTTTTGGGCCTCCTTGCCGCCTCCTGCTTCAGTGTTTCCATCACTACCTCCTCTTAATGCTACATGCTTGACCTCCTCAGTTGCAAACTCCGCTTGCAGCTCAGGTGTTCTGCCTTCTTCCTTCCTACTTTTCTCTTCTTTCCCATTTTCCTTTTCTTGACTTTGTCTACATTCCTCCACTCCACCTTTGCCCTTTCCCACAGCCTTGTTGTAAACTTCCTTCTCTTGCACGATGACCCTTTCCTTCCCACCAACACTTTCTTCTACCACTGCATCAGTCATTTTTTCCCTGTTGCCTCCTTCTTCTGTCGACTTCTCCTCAGCCCGTGCTACGAACTCTCTGTTCTGCTCCTCCCTTCCACCCTCCCATTGTTCACTCACCTGCAGATACTTGTCTCTTCCAACATCCCTGCCATCCTCCGTTCCTCCTTTCTCTGTCATGCTCCCTGACAGCTCCTTCTGGTGGTCTCCTGATGAAATGATTGGTCCAACATTTCGTACTTGTAATACCACCCTGTTTTCCAATTTGTAAGGTCCCTGTGTTTCCACACTAGGCTCCTCAAACACATCATCCACTGAGGACTCTTCACCTGGAGCTATACTAATATATGTCACTTGATCCTTAATCCAGCATTTATTCTCTTTCCACTCCTTCCCTTCTTCATTCTCATCACTTTCTGATGACTCATTTTTTATGCTGACCAACTCTGCTCGAAGCGTCTCCTCAGGGGTCAAGCAGGGGTTAAGACAGGATGCTTCTCCTTCTGTTTGTGATACTTTGATTTGATCGTCTTTGTCAAAGTAGTTGTACTTGTTGGATGCATCGCCAGGAATATCTGAGACGGGCGATTTAGGGCACCTTGTCAGTGAAGATGGTGTAGAAGGCTTCAGCAAGGAAACATTTATGATATGGTTCATGGATTTGTCTTTATCTAAGCCATCCTCTTCTGTGTTCCTCCTTTTCCCATTTCCCTCTTCCACCTTTTCTACATTGTTGACTTCTACTTTCCCATCTTCCATCCCCTTGCTTCCCCTGGCAATCAGGGGTTTTGAAACCTGGCCTCCACCACCTCCATCTTCCATCATCTTGCTCTCAAACAATCTTCGAGTTACAGAGAACTTCTGTGCCAGAGCAGCTCGGTCAATATCCGTAATTTCCTCCGCTCTGGATGGTTTATCTTTCAGGGAGGATTCTGGGATAGAAATATTTGTTGTTACAGTGCTCAGAGCAGATGAGGAATTGATGACTGAACACCTGGATCCAGGAAAAGGTGAAGTCTGGAGCTGTATGCTAGGATTTGGGGGAGAAATAAGCACCGTGGAGCCAGAACTTGGCACTGGGCCGCTATCTTGTTTCAACTGCTGGCTGTCCATTTGAAGAAAGATGTTATCTCTGATTTTGGTCCCCCTGGTGCTGTGGATTCTACTTCTGCAACCTGTGCTACCACTGGTGCTGGTGCAGGAAATTAGGGGCTCTGACAGGCTGGATTCCAGCTTGTTAGGGTGCACAGCAGAGCGCTGGGCAGCAGCAGATTTGGTCCCTGGCTGTAAACTGGTCCCAGTGTCGAATGAGCATTTGATAGCATGGAAATCAGATTTGTAAGTTATCCTGTGAGGGGAGGCACTTCGGCCTTTGCTCTCTGTCCGCATCATTGGAAAATTTGGAGGTTCTCTGGCTAAGAGAGAAACTGTGGACAATCTGAAATAGATGCTTTTCGTAGCTAGACAAAGCACCTGGGGAAAGGCAAATGTTTGAAGACTTGCTGGTACAGTGAAATGGTTGCAATAAGGCAAGATATTCTTGACAAAAGCTGGTGGTTTACAAGTTTACTGCATTTGTGTGATGACAGCAAACATTAAAGGCAGGCTCTTGGTCTGGGAAGTTCATTGTCATAAAGGTAGACTCCAGATTCTTCAATTCATTATCACCACCACAGTGAAAATCTCCTGAAAAGCACATTAAGAATAGCTCAGTAGGCGTACAGTGCAAACAAAAATGAAATAAATAATACCTTTTTAGGTGCCTCAAAATCTATAAAGCATCCCTCTGTCCTTAAACCCTTGAATCAAAGAAGAAAACAAAACGCTAAACCTCAGTTACTGACTGAGACAAACTATCCAGTGCCAGGATTAAGAGCAACACATTTTTAAAAAAATACTCACTCTTTTATCGAAGAATTTCAATCGCCAGAACAGTTTAAAAGATAAAAACGTAGCATGTAGACGTTTTTGTATATCTACTTGACACAGGTATCCACAATTAGACTCGTTTGCGGTCCCTTCTAGACAACATTTAAGTTCACACGCCCTGTCGAAAAAAAGGATTGAGGGCGTGTGAACGTAAGCTTGCGCATTTTTGCACTTCTAATATCAACGACAGTCTAAACCAGTTTATTTAGATTATTGTTTCCTTAACGTTTTAGGCAAAAAAAAAAAAAATCCAATTAGATAAATTAATTAGTCACATTAACGGAATCTGGCTTCAAGCCCGGGTCAGTTCAGCTTTCTTTTCATTGCAACCCTACACCCACCTTTCTGACAGCTTACTGCAAAAGCAGTGTTTTTCTTGGCACAAGACTTTTCCTCGGACTAACTGTGACTAGCTAAAACTGTCTCGCAAAAATGAAATCGCAAATTTGTCGTTCGGAAATCGGATTTCACGACGGCATGTGAAGGCAGCAAAGTTCACCAACCTGGCGAGTGTGCGCGCGCAGTTTAAAGATCGCGGGCTCCAGCGCGTTAGGGCTCGTGATCCAGCGGTTAGCTAAATTACAAGAAAGTAACTGGAATATTAAAGTAATAGCTCTTTCTCTAGACCGTCCCCGACAGTTTCGTCTCACCATAAAAGTGCTGCTGCTGTCAGTCGGTGCTGACGGCTCCCTTGCTGAGATAAATACAGACAGATGGCGACTCATGTCTCTAAATACTGTAAATGGATTATCCCCCTGTAATCCTGTGTAAACTACTCCAGTAACTGTGTAGCACTGACGGTGAGTGGGTACCAGCCCTCGGGCAAGTTAGCCTACATTTAAAAAGTCAGTTGTAACATCTGTGCCCTATAAAGTATTTATCTTCAGTGGAAAGTCTTATTTTGGTCACTAAAGCCTATTACAGTCCCATATTTAGTGGTGGTTGTTAACCATTCTGAGGCTAATAATGCCATCTGTTGTAATACCTGTTTTGTAGCTTTCCCCCATATTATTGCATAATGCTAAACATGGTAGTTCTCTCTTAAACTTCTACCAAGCATGCAGATCTGTGCTACATCCACTTACCTTCACCTGTTTCCTGCTTCTCAGCATCACTGCCAGAGTTGCTGTCTGTAGTAAAGAAAAAATGTCACTAGCAGAGCCTCTATTGGGCTCAGAGGCAGGCTTGGTGTGAATATTCACCTGTGTGCATGATGCAGGTTGGTGCAGTCAGCCAGATCTCCCACTGTCTACCTGTGTGTGTGTGTGTGTGTGTGTGTGTGTGTGTGAGGCAAAATGGGAGCAGTGATGCAGCACCTGTGCGTGCTCCTGCCTTGTGTGTCTGTGTGATGCCAGCGGGTGAGTAGGTGCAGTACCTATGTCTGTCTGAGAGGTTGGCTTGTGTGGCAGATGGGCTGGACTGGATTTCAATGGACTGGACTGAACCGTGCAGAGCCGAAGAGTGGTTCTGCTTGCTATGACCTGGATCTGACAGGAGACTATTGTCCCAGGTGGCACTGGGACCTAGTTGATATAAATACTGGCCAATCACAAAAGCCTTCTTCTGAATGAGGCTAACCAAGAGAGGGAGGGAAAATGAAGGGAAGATGGAAATTGAGGGAGTGATGTCGCGGTGGGCGAGAAAGTCAATTTTGAGAGGTAGAAAAGTGAGCGAGGCAGAGTAAATGAAGACAAAGAATGGAGGCAGAAAATCTAACCTGGAATGTGAGAAGCAGTAGAAATGTAAAGGACTGAAGAGTAGAGAAAACAGCAAATTGTAGGAATGATAAATGCTGTGAAGTGACAGCAAGCCCCCTCTGTTTTACTCAGCAGTATTTCGGATTGATCGCAAGTAAGATGAGAAATACAGAGCCCTGTTTGTGCTGATAGCTCTCAGGTCACCTTGACTTGTACAGGAGTTTCTGTCTTTCTCTCCTCAGATTGACATAAAAAAGAGACGGTTACAATTTAGACACAATAATAGACCCGTCAGTACTTGTGCCAACGCATAGGTTCTCTTTGCAGCAGTACTATTGTGTTTGTGGGTTTGTGGACAGTGCTACTGTACGGCGAGTGTGCTGCTAGTGTGGAAAATGGAGCTAAACAATAGCTGTCAGTGTCCCTGGAGAACAAATTTGTCACACACCAGCACATTTTCTTTGTTGTTCTTATTGAGCCTTTATTTCAATTTCACCTGTTTTGTTGCTTTATCACAGATTGTATGTTTCAGTATGTATCCCAACATTTCAGCGGATATGCAGCATGAAACTGCAGCACAGAAATTGGATGTGGACATATATTTACCATTAGTACAGCTGTTCTGTTGTTAGTCCACCAGAGAGCACTGACGGCTTTATTTCATGACCTCAGTGAATATAGTCCTTTCAAAATCATGTAGGGATTATTGCACATATTTTAACTATATATCCATTCATCCATTTTTAAAAAAAAAATTAGCCAATTTATTTAAAAAAAAGTCTAAACTAACCCTAACCCTCTGACGTACCCCAAATCCAGAAAAGTTGGTACGTTGTGTAAAATGTAAACAAAAGCAAAATGCATCATTTATAGGTCTCATGCTCCTATATTGTATTCACACTAGAATATAGGCAACATGTTAAATATTTAAACTGACAAATTTCATTACATCATAATGATGGCACATGTCACAAACAAGTTGTGATGGGGGAAAAATACTAGAAAAGCAAGTGGTACTAAAATATAAATAAAAACAACAGGTGGAGGAATATTTTACAGCTAAGGAGGTTAACTGGGAGCAGGTCAGTAACGTGACTGGGTATGAAAAGAGCATTGAGTTTCTCAGAAGTAAATTTTGGCAGAGGTTCACCAATCTGCAAAACAAATGTATATATAAAGTGTTAAACAATTTCAGAATAATGTTCTGTAATGTAAAATCGTGAAGACGTTAGAAAATCTTATCATCTGCAGTACATGTAGTACAAGAAGCCATATGTAAGCAGGATCCAGAAATGCCGTCATCTTTTCTGAGCCAAAAGTCCAGACCTTTCCCCAGTTCAAAACATCATGAAACAAAAAGTACAAAGAAGACCCAGGACCATTGAGCAGCTAGAATCTGATATCATTTTTTTTCTTAAATGTTTTTCCCTTAGTTTAAGCATTTGATATGTTTTCAATGGGGCAGCATGGTGGTGCGATGGTTAGCAACATTCCCTCACCATAAAAAGGTCCTGGATTCAAATCCATCAGTGGAGTTTCAAGATTCAAGATTCAAAGTGTTTGTTGTCATGTGTACAAAAGAAACAGCATTTCTCTGTGTGGTAAGGGTTAAAGGAACAAGGTAAATAAGGATAAATATAAGACAAGATATTAAGATAAATAAAGATAAAAATAAGGATAAAAATTAATGAAAGATAAATAACTAAGTACAAAAATAACTAAGTGAAGACACGTGAGGTATGCAGATGTAGATGAGTTTGCATGTTTTCACTGTGTCTGTGTGGGTTACTTACTGCAGGTACTTTGGCTTCCTGCCATGGTCCAAAGACATACGTGATGATTCTAAATTTGTAGCTGTGAATGTGAGCATGAATGGTGGTCTGTCTCTCTGTGTTAGGCCTGCAATAGACTGGCAACCTCTCCAGGGTGTAGTCTGCTCTTTCCCTTATGACTACTGGGATCGACTCCAGCCCAGCCATGACCCTGATGTGGATAAGAAGATGGAAGTTTTCTGTGGTATATTGTGAATAAAATATGTGTTTATCAAGATCTAGATTTGCAAATATTTGCATTGAGGTTTTATTTATGTTTTACACAACATCCCAGCTCTTTTGGAATTGGGGTTGCAAATTTATAAACCCTGGTTATCTCTGAAACACCTAGCATTGAGTACTGCTTTAGTAAACAGCAACGTCATCGTTATTTAAACAAATTAGAAGTGACTGGCAGATGGTTTTACTATAATAGTTGACTGTATCGACTGTGTGTTTGTGTGCATGTGACTGAGTGTGTTGTTGTGTAGGCTGCATTCCGCACACAGCCTTGCCCCATATGGTTGTCTGTTCAGTCAGCCATATTTAAAGATTCCCAGTTTCATGAGGGAATTGCCTTCTATCCTCTGAGCATTTAAATGCAGACACACACATTCTCTCCACTCAACTCATATCTGGGATGAACGCACAAGTTGTCAATTTAAATGAGCAAAGCACGATGTAGCTGTGCCGCTGCACTGCAGAATCCCTTTACACCGTGCTGGGACATAGTCTCACGTGTCCCTCAGGTGGCAGTTTTTATAGATCAGCTTGTGAGCGTATAAATATGCACAGTGATACTGTTGTATTGCATGTGCACACTGCAGATGTCTCATTTTAAAAACACAAGTAATAGAGATCTAATCCTGTGCTGATGAGTATGAAGAGCATAAATGGCAGAGTTAAGCCTTTAGATGTCATTAGATCAAACATGAAAGATCATAAAAGATACCGCCAATGTACCAGCAATTTATTGTAAACTACAATAACAATAATCCTGAACCGTGCTTCCCAGAGTATAAGCTTTACAGTACAAAACTGTCAGCTGTGTGTTTGCCAACAGTGTTTTATTTTAAAAGTATCAATCTCAATAAAGATGATATTATGATAAAATGTGTTATATTGTACATCTCTGTCCATAAAATAGCATACCTTATGCTTAATAGGGTTGTGATAGATGTTATAATACCACCACTACTATAATACTTAATAGGTCTCCATGTACTCTATGTAGCTGTAATTTAACTTTAATCTCCAGACATTTTTTTTTAAATAAGAAATATTTAAAAAAGAGCACTACCCTTTGTGAGACAACTGGCACACACACACACACACACACAC